AGCGGCCGGGGAGGGGGGTCGGGCCTTGCAGAGAGGTTCCCCCTTGCCCTGACAGAAGCGGAGCGATGTCTCGCCACACGCGCGGTTTCCCCGCGTTGACTCTGCAGATGCGGGAAAGAAGTTCTTCCTTGTTTACGGTCGTCTTATTGCAATAAAGCACTCTTTCACTACCGAATATTTCACGGGTGGTGCACGAGGAGGCTGTGAGCGATGAGGGTTGAGTCATTTTTGGTGGAAACCACAAGCCGGTCGGGAAACCAGCTGCCGCTTCGCTTGCCCCGGGAGGAGACGGGACGGAGCTTGCGGCGCCCGGGCATCGGGATGCCGATATTCCCCGGCCATCAAAGACCGGCTCAGCTTTTGTTTTAATCCCCACACTAAATATTGCACCGCGCTTAACTGTAAAATGTCAACACCTCGCAGCTGATTTCAACTTTATCAAAGACACTGCTACATATTAACAGTTAAAAGAAAAACAGACAAAGCTGGTAGGAATTAAAGTATGTGTGGGTCACGGCGTGTTTGTGTATGTGGAAGGAGTGTTTGGTTTGGCATTAGGTGTACGGATCCTGATCTGTGAGCTTGTGCGTGTGCCTCTAACATACATCCCATGCACATCACGTTGCACACAGAGCTCACGGGCTTCCCAGCTCCAACCAAGAATTTATCATGGTTTTCTTTTTTTTTTCCCCTGAGATTCTTTTTAGCTTGTTTTGTTTGATTTTTTTTTTTAAATAGAATCTCGAAGGTACAGGCTCTATAAATTAAATAAAACGTGAAAAGAAATATAATGTGGTGACCGGAGTGCACGAAATATCAGCGAGTAAAACATGAAATTGATGTCGCTGGTGCGTATGAACACTGTATAAATATGATTTTAATTGAAATATTTGTAAGATATTTTTAGAAAAAAATCAAATTAATTGAGCTAGGTTTCAGAGCCTGCACATATCGCAATGAACGTGCATAGTTAGGAATAAGTAGGATGTTGCTGGAGATCGCCCAGAATTAATGGCATGTTGCAGACGTTTTGCGGCGGAAAGAAGGCGATCGTGGTTCCTTCGCAGGTGTCTCTTTATTTGATCGGAATATCGGCGGATACTTCTGTTTCCTCCACGGGGATTAAAAAAAAAGAATAAACCAAAACAACTCAACAACAACAAATTTTCTATGGCAGTTTTGTGGTTATTTCAGAAACGTGAGTTGCCCATTCAGAATATCACACTTTTAAATTGTAGTGCTTCCTTAACCTAGATAAAATTACCTCTGGTAAAGGGGATCCCCCCCCCCTCCCCCCCGCAAACGCCATCGTCCGAAAGCGATGGCGCGCTGCGCAGGCAATACTCGCAGGCATTTGCTGAAGCCAGAATCCTTTTCGGTGTTGTGAGCTGACCTGCTTTGGATATCGTTAAGGCAGGAGGCATTGAAGTAGTGGGACCCGGATCCAGCCTTTAATTAAGTTAACGATGTAATTAAACAATGGAAGGGGGTGCGCGTCCGTAAAACTTCCGATCCGCCTTAGCAGCGTACTTCTTTCCGAAGCAGAGTCGCTAGAGGGATCCCCGACAAGGCTGCCCTCCCGGCAGGCGTGCTTCCCCGCCCG